GTTGGCCCAAATGTGTCCACCACCCGCCCACCTGCAGCCACTTCCGGTGTCCCAAGGGGACCGTGTGTCTCATGGCGCGTGGTTGGCCGCGTTGCGTGCAAAGAGGGCCATCCCACCACCAATCAGCTTCTCCCACGTGGGCGGGAACCGGGAAACATCTGTCCACCCTTCCCATCGCCAAACAAGCGCCCAAAGTGCCGCCGTCCTGCGCCAACGTGCGGTGTCACCAGGCCACCACGTGCAAGATGGTGGATGGTCAACCACGGTGTGTCCACAACCAACCATCCTGTGGTGATGTCCAGTGCCAGAAAGGAACCACATGTCAGATGGTTGATGGTTGGCCACAGTGTGTCCACACCAAGACGTACCACAAGCAACCTTCTTGTAGTGACATCCACTGTCCCCAAGGGACCACGTGCAAGATGGTGGATGGTCAACCAGAATGTGTCCACAACCAACCATCCTGCAGTGACATCCAGTGTGAGAAGGGAACCATGTGTCAGATGGTTGATGGTTGGCCACGGTGTGTCCAAGTCAAGGTGTCCTCAAGACCACCTTCTTGTAGTGATGTCCAGTGTCCCAAAGGAACCACGTGCAAGATGGTGGACGGTCAACCACAGTGTGTCCACAACCCGCCCTCCTGCAGTGACATCCAGTGTGAGAAAGGAACCATCTGTCAGGTGGTTGATGGTTGGCCACGGTGCATCCAAAGCAAGACCTCCATTAGGAAACCTTCATGCAGTGACGTCCACTGTCCGAAAAGGACCACGTGCCAGATGAACAATGGCCAACCACAGTGTGTCCACCACCCGCCATCCTGCAGTGATGTCCAGTGTGGAAAGGGATCCATGTGTCAGATGGTTGACGGTTGGCCACGGTGTGTCCAAACCAAGGTGTCCTCAAGACCGCCTTCATGTAGTGATGTCCATTGTCCCAAAGGAGCCACGTGCAAGATGGTGGACGGTCAACCACAGTGTGTCCACAACCAACCATCCTGCAGTGATGTCCGATGCCAGCAAGGAACCACGTGCCAGATGGTTGACAGTTGGCCACAGTGTGTCCAAACCAAGGTGTCCCCGAGGAGACCTTCTTGCAATGGCATCCACTGTCCCCAAGGGACCACGTGCAACTTGATCGATGGTCAACCACGGTGCGTCCACCACTCGCCATCCTGCAGCGACGTCCAGTGCCAAAAGGGAACCGCGTGTCAGATTGTTGATGGTTGGCCACGGTGTGTCCAAACCAAGGTGTCCTCAAGACCACCTTCTTGTAGTGACATCCAGTGTCCCAAAGGGACCACGTGCAAGATGGCGGGCGGTCAACCACAGTGTGTCCACGACCAACCATCCTGCAGTGACATCCAGTGTGAGAAAGGAACCACCTGTCAGATGGTTGATGGTTGGCCACGGTGTGTCCAAACCAAGACCTCTATTAGGAAACCTTCATGCAGTGACATCCACTGTCTGAAAAGGACCACGTGCAAGATGATCAATGGGCAACCACGGTGTGTCCACAACTCACCATCCTGCAGTGATGTCCAGTGCCAGAAGGGAACCGTGTGTCAGATGGTTGATAGTTGGCCACGGTGTGTCCAAACCAAGACGTCCCTCAGGCAACCTTCCTGCAATGATGTCCACTGTTCCAAAGAAACTACATGCAAGATGGTGGATGGTCAACCACAGTGTGTCCAAAACCCGCCCTCCTGCCAGGACATCCAATGTCAGAAGGGAACCACGTGCCAGGTGGTTGATGGTTGGCCACAGTGTGTCCAAACCAAGGTGTCCTCAAGACCACCTTCTTGTAGTGACATCCACTGTCTCCAAGGTACCACGTGCAAGATGGTGGACAGTCAACCACGGTGTGTCCACAATGCGCCCTCCTGCAGTGACGTCCAGTGTGAGAAGGGAACCACGTGTCACATGGTTGATGGTTCGCCACGATGTGTCCACATCAAGATGTCCACAAGGAGACCTTCTTGCAGCAACATCCAGTGTCCCAAAGGGACCACATGCAAGATGGTGGACGGTCAACCACAGTGTGTCCAGAAGCAACCCTCCTGCAGTGACATCCAATGCCAGAAGGGAACCGTGTGTCAGGTGGTTGATGGTTGGCCACAGTGTGTCCAAACCAAGGTGTCCTCAAGACCACCTTCTTGTAGTGACATCCAGTGTCCCAAAGGGACCACGTGCAATATGGTCAATGGTCAACCACAGTGTGTCCACGACCAACCATCCTGCAGTGACATCCAGTGCGAGAAAGGAACCGTGTGTCAGGTGGTTGATGGTTGGCCACGATGTGTCCAAACCAAGGTGTTCTCAAGACCACCTTCTTGTAGTGACATCCAGTGTCCCAAAGGGACCACGTGCAAGATGATGAACGACCAACCAAGGTGTGTCCAAAACCCGGCCTCCTGCAGTGACGTCCAGTGCGAGAAAGGAACCGTGTGTCAGGTGGTTGATGGTTGGCCACGATGTGTCCAAACCAAGGTGTTCTCAAGACCACCTTCTTGTAGTGACATCCACTGTCCCCAAGGGACCACATGCAAGATGGTGGATGGTCAACCAGAGTGTGTCCACAACCCACCCTCCTGCAGTGACGTCCAATGCCAGAAGGGAACCACGTGCCAGATGGTTGACAGTTGGCCACGGTGTGTCCAAACCAAGGTGTCCTCAAGACCACCTTCATGTAGTGACATCCACTGTCCCCAAGGTACTACATGCAATATGGTGGACGATCAACCACACTGTGTCCACACCCCGCCCTCCTGCAGCGACGTCCAGTGTGAGAAGGGAACCACGTGTCACATAGTTGATGGTTGGCCACGGTGTGTCCAAATCAAGATGTCCACAAGGAGACCTTCTTGTAGTGACATCCAGTGTCCCAAAGGGACCACGTGCAAAATGATGGATGACCAACCACGGTGTGTCCACATCCCGCCCTCCTGCAGTGACGTCCAATGCCAGAAGGGAACCACGTGTCAGATCATTGATGGTTGGCCACAATGTGTCCACATCAAGATGTCCACAAGGAGACCTTCTTGCAGGGACATCCAGTGTCCCAAAGGAACCACGTGCAAGATGATGGACAGTCAACCACGGTGTGTCCACAACCAACCATCCTGCAGCGACATCCAGTGTGAGAAAGGAACCACCTGTCAGATGGTTGATGGTTGGCCACGGTGTGTCCAAACCAAGACGTCCCTCAAGCAACCTTCCTGCATCGATGTCCACTGTCCTCAGGGGACCACGTGCAACATGATCAATGGCCAACCACGGTGTGTCCACAACCCGCCCTCCTGCCAGGACGTCCAATGCCAGAAGGGAACCACGTGCCTGGTGGTTGATGATTGGCCACGGTGCGTCCAAACCAAGATGCCCTCAAGACCAGCTTCTTGTAGTGACATCCAGTGTCCCAAAAGGACCATGTGCAAGATGGTGGACGGCCAACCACAGTGTATCCACAACCAACCATCCTGTAGTGACATCCAGTGCGAGAAAGGAACCACGTGCCAGGTGGTTGATGGGTGGCCACAGTGTGTCCAAACCAAGACCACACTGAGGCAACCTTCTTGTGGGGACATCCAGTGTCCTAAAGGGACCACGTGCCAGATGACACACGGGTGGCCTCACTGTGTCCACCACCAGCCCTCCTGCAGCGATGTCCACTGTCCCAAAGGGACCACGTGTAAGATGATGGGTGGTTGGCCCCGGTGCGTTGACATTCGACCTTCCTGCGATGACGTCAGCTGCCACAGAGGAACTACGTGTCAGATGGTGGATGGTTGGCCACGGTGTGTCCAAACCAAGACCTCCATTAGGAGACCTTCTTGTGGCGACATCCGGTGTCCCAAAGGGACCACGTGCAAGGAGACCGATGGGTGGCCTCGGTGTGTCCACAACCCGCCCTCTTGCCAGGACGTCCAATGCCAGAAGGGAACCAGGTGTCAGGTGGTTGATGGGTGGCCACGGTGTGTCCAAATCAAGATGTCCCTCAGGAAACCTTCTTGTGGTGATGTCCGCTGTCCCCAAGGAATCCCGTGCAACGTGATCGGTGGCCAACCACAGTGTGTCCTCAACCCGCCCTCCTGCAGCAACGTCCAGTGTGAGAAGGGAACCGCGTGTCACATGGTTGATGGTTGGCCACGGTGTGTCCAAATCAAGATGTCCACAAGGAGACCTTCCTGCAGGGAGCTCCGTTGTCCCCAAGGGACCACGTGCAACTTGATTGATGGCCAACCCCAGTGTGTCCACAATCCACCCTCCTGCAGTGATGTCCAATGCCAGAAGGGAACCACGTGCCAGATGGTTGATGGTTGGCCACGGTGTGTCCACACCAAGACGTCCCCAAGGAGACCTTCTTGTAGTGACATCACATGTCCCAAAGAAACCACGTGCAAGATGATCAAAGGTCAACCACAGTGTGTCCACAACCAACCATCCTGCCAGGACATCCAATGCCAGAAGGGAACCATGTGCCAGGTGGTGGATGGTTGGCCACAGTGTGTCCAAACCAAGGTGTCCTCAAGACCACCTTCTTGTAGTGACATCCAGTGTCCCAAAGGGACCACGTGCAAGATGACAGATGGTTGGCCACTGTGTGTCCAAAACCCACCTTCTTGCAGGGACATCCAATGCCAGAAGGGAACCACCTGTCAGATGGTGGATGGTTGGCCACGGTGCATCCAAACCAAGACCACCATTAGGAGACCATCTTGTCAGGACATCCGCTGCCCCAAAGGGACCACGTGCAAGATGACAGATGGTTGGCCTCAATGTGTCCACCAGCAACCCTCTTGTCATGACGTCCAATGTCCCAAGGGGACCACGTGCAACGTGGTCAACGGTTGGCCCCAGTGTGTCCAAAATCGACCTTCCTGCCAGGAAGTCCAGTGCCAGAAGGGATCCATGTGCCAGATGGTTGATGGTTGGCCACAGTGTGTCCAGATAAAAACGTCCCTCAGGCCACCTTCTTGCCATGATGTCCACTGTCCCCAAGGGACCATGTGCAAGGTGACCGATGGGTGGCCACAGTGTGTCCACGACCCGCCTTCCTGTAGTGACGTCCAATGCCAGAAGGGAACCACGTGCCAGATGGTTGATGGTTGGCCACGGTGTGTCCACAGGAAGCCCTCCTGTGGTGATGTCCACTGTCCCCAAGGGACCACGTGTAACATGATTGACGGCCAACCACGGTGTGTCCACAACCCGCCCTCCTGCCAGGACATCAAGTGTCAGAAGGGAACCACGTGCCAGGTGGTTGATGATTGGCCACGGTGTGTTCCAATCAAGGTGTCCTCAAGACCACCTTCTTGCAGGGACATCGAGTGTCCCAAAGGGACCATGTGCAAGATGACCGATGGGTGGCCTCACTGTGTCCACCACCAACCCTCCTGCGGTGACATCCGATGCCAGAAGGGAACCACGTGCCAGATGGTGGATGGTTGGCCACGGTGCATCCAAACCAAGACCTCCATTAGGAGACCAACTTGCAGTGACCTCCAGTGTCCCAAGGAGACCACGTGCAAGATGACAGATGATTGGCCTCGATGTGTCCACCACCAACCCTCCTGTCGTGACGTCCACTGTCCCAAGGGGACCACATGCAACATGGTCAACAGTTGGCCCCAGTGTGTCCCAAATCGTCCCTCCTGCCTCGATGTCCAATGTGAGAAGGGAACCACGTGCCAGATGGTTGATGGTTGGCCACGGTGCATCCAAGTCAAGACCTCCATTAGGAGACCTTCTTGCAGGGACATCCGATGTCCCAAGGAGACCACGTGCAAGGTGACAGATGGGTGGCCTCGATGTGTCCACCACCAACCATCCTGCCAGGACATCCAATGCCAGAAGGGAACCACGTGTCAGATGGTTGACGGTTGGCCGCGGTGTGTCCAAACCAAGACGTCTCCAAGGAGACCTTCTTGCCAGGACATCCAATGCCTCAAGGGGACCACATGCAAGATGCTCCAGGGATGGCCACAGTGTGTCCCCAGCCAACCATCTTGCAATGACATCCAGTGTCAAAAGGGCAGCATGTGTCAGATCGTGGCTGGTTGGCCACGGTGCGTTGAGCGGCAACCAACATGCAGGGACATCCAGTGTCCCCAAGGAACCTCATGCGAGATGACCGACGGGTGGCCCCACTGTGTCCACAACAGACCTTCCTGCCACGATGTCCAGTGTCAGAAAGGGACCACGTGCCAGATGGTTGATGGTTGGCCACGGTGCGTCCAAGTCAAGACATCCATTAGGAGACCTTCTTGCAGGGACATCCAGTGTTCCAAGGGGACGACATGCAAGATGGTTGATGGTTGGCCCCAATGTGTCCATCGCCAACCCTCCTGCAGGGACATCCAGTGTCCCAAGGGGACCACGTGCAACGTGGTCAATGGTTGGCCCCAGTGTGTCCAAAATCGACCTTCCTGCAGCGACATCCAATGTCAGAAGGGAACCACGTGCCAGGTGGTGGATGGTTGGCCGCCACGGTGCTTCCAAACCAAGACGTCCATTAGGAGACCTTCTTGCAGGGACATCCAGTGTCCCAAGGAGACCACGTGCACCATGACAGATGGTTGGCCCCAATGTGTCCATCGCCAACCCTCCTGCAGTGACATCCACTGTCCCAAGGGGACCATGTGCAACGTTGTCAACGGTTGGCCTCAGTGTCTCCAAAATCAACCTTCCTGCAGCGACATCCAATGTGAGAAGGGAACCATGTGCCAGATGGCGGATGGTTGGCCACGGTGTGTCCAAGTCAAGACTTCCATTAGGAGACCTTCTTGCAGGGACATCCAGTGTTCCAAGGAGACGACGTGTAAGACGGTTGATGGTTGGCCCCAATGTGTCCATCGCCAACCCTCCTGCAGTGACATACAATGTCCTAAGGGGACCATGTGCAACATGGTCAAGGGTTGGCCCCAGTGTCTCCAAAATCGACCTTCTTGTGAGGACGTCCAGTGCCAGAAGGGAACCATGTGCCAGATGGTGGATGGTTGGCCACGGTGCTTCCAAACCAAGACATCCATTAGGAGACCTTCTTGCAGGGACATCCAGTGTTCCAAGGGGACGTCATGCAAGATGGTTGATGGTTGGCCCCAATGTGTCCATCTCCAGCCCTCCTGCAGTGACATCCACTGTCCCAAGGGAACCACATGCAACGTGGTCAATGGTTGGCCCCAGTGCCTCCAAAATCGACCTTTCTGCAGCGACATCCAATGTGAGAAGGGAACCACCTGCCAGATGGTTGATGGTTGGCCACGGTGTGTCCCAGTCAAGACTTCCATTAGGAGACCTTCTTGCAGGGACATACAATGTTCCAAGGGGACAACGTGCAAGATAACCGACGGGTGGCCCCAATGTGTCCATCGCCAGCCCTCCTGCAGTGACATCCACTGTCCCAAGGGAACCACATGCAACGTGGTCAATGGTTGGCCCCAGTGTGTCCAAAATCGACCTTCTTGCAGCAACACCCAATGTGAGAAGGGAACCGTGTGCCAGGTGGTGGATGGTTGGCCACGGTGCATCCAAACCAAGACGTCCATTAGGAGACCTTCTTGCAGGGACATACAATGTTCCAAGGGGACAACGTGCAAGATAACCGACGGGTGGCCCCAATGTGTCCATCGCCAACCCTCCTGCAGTGACATCCACTGTCCCAAGGGGACCATGTGCAACGTGGTCAATGGTTGGCCCCAGTGTGTCCAAAATCGACCTTCTTGCAGCAACACCCAATGTGAGAAGGGAACCGTGTGCCAGGTGGTGGATGGTTGGCCACGGTGTGTCCAAGTTAAGACCTCCATTAGGAGACCTTCTTGCAGGGACATCCAGTGTCCCAAGGAGACTACGTGCACCATGACAGATGGGTGGCCACGTTGTCTTCCCGGCCATCCCATCTTGACATCTGTCTCCTGGAACCATCCCACTTCCATCCCTCCATTTTCCCCCGGCATCTCCTCATCTTCCTCATCCTGCGTCGGCACCCACTGCGTCACCGTCCCCGCGTCCTGCCAGCACGTGGCCTGCAGACCCGGCACCTCCTGCGTACGTGCACCATGACAGATGGGTGGCCACGTTGTCTTCCCGGCCATCCCATCTTGACATCTGTCTCCTGGAACCATCCCACTTCCATCCCTCCATTTTCCCCCGGCATCTCCTCATCTTCCTCATCCTGCGTCGGCACCCACTGCGTCACCGTCCCCGCGTCCTGCCAGCACGTGGCCTGCAGACCCGGCACCTCCTGCGTGGTGGTCCACGGCCATCCCGCCTGCGTCTCCCGCCCCTCCTGCAAGAACCTCCACTGGCGGGAATGGGCTGCAAGGTCCTCAACGGGTGGCCCCGTTGCATCCGCGTCCCCTCGTGCCGTGACCTGAGGTGCCCGAGCGAGACCACGTGCCGGGTGGTGGGAGGGTGGCCCCGGTGCACGCGGCTGACCAGG